CCTCTGGAAGGTGTTGCCTAACGAATCTCTCATTTTCTAGTCCATTAGCAACTCTAATGAATGAATGTGAAAGATTCCTCAGTAGGAAAGACAAGTTTGGGGTTGAGAGATTTTCATTTATCTCTTAAATATCTCCACCCCAAGAAGAATTTCTCTCTTGATATCCTATGAAGTACACTGAGCTTTAAAAGGCTTTTGAGCTTTACTGACAAAGAGCATCAAATAATGTAGTGAAATTTTAGAATAGAATGAACAGCTAGACATGGCAGGACAAGTCTACAATCCCAGACTGAACAAGAGTATCACTGTGAGTTAAAGGCCAGCCTGAAGTATAAAGCAAGACCCTTGTTTCAAAAACAACAACAACAAAAAAACAACCTATTAAATATCTCAATTTATATTCACATTGCTAAGCAAAGAAAAATTGGAAAATATAAACTTGTATCTGTATGTACATCCTTTATTTCCTATCCTGGGGCTCAAAGCTGAAGTGTTAAAACTGACTGATCTAAAACACATTCAAATCCATACTCAGCCCAACAAAGGGAAAAACTGATGCCTAACAAAGAATCTTAAAGCATATTAAACTGGGAAGAATAGAGTAAGTAAAATAGCATGAATAGCATGGAGGCACAGACTTGTAGTCCTAGCATTTAGTAGGCAGAGGCAGGAAGATTAGGAGCTTGAGGCTAGCCTGGGCTACATAGAAAGGCCCTGTTTCAGAAAACTGAAAACAACCAAACCAAGCTAAACAAACATAAAATAGATAACATTAATTGAGCATTAAATTGTGCCAGGAATTTTTCTAAATGCACATTGTATGTCATTCTGAATCTCCATTTTAAAAAAGAGGAAGAAAAAAAGCTTTAGAAAAGCTTTTTTCGAGCTTTAAAAAAGAGGAAGAAACAATTTTACTTCAGGGTTCCCACTGTAATCCTCCCAGAGTGACTGGGTGAGAGATGGCCGTGGGAGAGTCATGGGATGAGTACAAGCTAGACATAGGCATCCTGATGAGTTTAAGCTATCCATCCCATAACGCATGCTTAAGTAAATATACAGGAATAATGTGTATCCCATGCACATTATTAGATCATAATGCAATGAAGCTAGAAATCAAAAGAAACCACAAAAATTATGCAAATACATAGAAATGAAATAATATCCTCTTAAATAATCAATGCGAAACAGATGAAATGAAGGAAATATTAGGCACTTCTTTGAATGAAACAATAATGCTGGTACAATGTGCCAAAACTTATGGTACAGAATGAAAGCAGTCCTAAGCGGGAAGTTTATAGGTGTGAATGTCCATATTAGAAAAATGGTGCAACCATAAATACATAATGATGTACCTCAAGGTCCTAAAAAAACAAGAAAAATCTAAATCCAAAGTTAGTACATGGAAGGAAACTATAAAGATCAAAGAAAAAAATCAATGAAATTGAGACTAAAAAATACAAAGAATCAGTGAAGTGCTGGTTCTGAGAAAGAATAAGCAAAATAGACAAACCTCTAGCCAATTTTACCCAAAAAAGTGAAAGAGAAGACATAAATAAATGCAAAAAGAAATGAAAAAGGCAAAATTACCATTGAACTCCTAATCAGTAGGAACTAATTTGTACTCTAATAAATTAGAGTATTCAGAAGAAATGGATAGAGATGTGGGAAAAAAGAGGATCAAGATGTATCATGTACAGCAAATTGCAGTAGTACATGCCTGTAATCCTAGGACTCCAGAGGCTGAGGCAGAAAGATACCTATGAATTTAAGGCCAATCTTGGCTATGTATTGAGTGTAAGACAAAACTGAACTACATAGTGAGACCCCATCTAAAATATATAATATATAAATAAATATATATATCATGTACACATACAAAATTTCCTATGATTAATGTGATCATTATGTGTATCTAAATTGTACCAACAAACTTAATTTTTTTTCTTTGGTACCAGGGATTGAACTCAGGACCTTGCTAGGCAGGCACTTACACCATTGAGCTAAACCCCTGGTCCCCAACAAACTTATTTTTAAAAATAAGGACCAGAGATTTAGCTCAGTGGCATAAGCATTTGCCTGGCAAGCATGAGATCATGAATTCAATCCCTAGTACCAAAAATAAATAAATAAATAAAAATAAAAAACATAAAATGAAATAAGATTTTATTTCAAAGGGGTAATAAAGTTTACCATTTTAAGTACATGTATATTCCCTGTTTCTGCAGACACAAAACTAATATTTTCAAAATGGCCATACTTCTAAAACTGATGTACAGGTTTAATGCAATCCCACTCAAAATATTGCACCTACAGGATTCTTTACAGAACTAGTGAAAACAATCCTAAAATTCATATGGAATTTGATGCTCAGGAATTTGATGCTTTGTTCTTATTTCCCGGGAGGCAAAAGCAATCCTAGGTAACAAGAGCACAGCAGAGAGTGTCACAATACCTAACTTCAAATTATACAACACAGTCATAGTGATAAAAATGGCATAGTGTTGGCAATGCACACATTGATCAGTGTAATAGAGGATGCAGAAATAACTCCAAGCCCATTCATCTATCTAATCTTCAATAAAGGGGCCAAAAACATATTCTAGGAGAAAGACAGCCTCTTTAACAAATTGTGCTGGAAAAACTGCCTATCTACATTCAAAAAATTGAACTTGGACTCAGAGCTCTCACTAATTACTAAACTAAAAACAAAATGAATCAAAGATCTAAATGTTAAAACAGAAACAATCTGCTGAAAGATGAAATAGGTGAGACTCTTAAAGACATAAGCATAGACACGACTTTCTAACTCTAGCTGCACAAAAAATAATACCAAGATTGAACAGATGGCATCACATCAAATTATAAAGTTTGTGCACAGTAAACAAGAGTGAAGAGATAATCTAGAATGGGAAGAGATTTTTGCCAGCTATTCCTCAGACAGAAGACTAATATCTAGAATATTTGAGGAACTCAAAAGATTAGAGCCCACAAAATAAAACATCCAATAAAAAAATGGGCCAATGAAATGAATACACTTCTCAGAAGTACAAATGGCTAATAAATACATGAAAAAATGTTCAACATGTCTCCCCATTTGAGAAATACAAGTTAATCAGTACTGAGATTTCATCTTACTCCATTAAGAATGGCTATCATGGGGATAGTCATTCTTAATGGATAGCTGGGGATTTAGCTCAGCGGCATAAGCACCTGCCTTGCAAGCAGGCGGTCATGAGTTCGATTCCTGGTACTGGAAAAAAGCAAGCAAAAAAAAAAAAAAGAAAAATTAATACTGGTGAGCCTTGAGGAAAAATGAACCCCTTCTACATTCTTGGTGGCAATGTAAACTAGTACAACCACCATGGAACTCATGGAGATACCTCAAAAACCTAAAGAAACTTCATTCAAGCCAGCTATTGTCCTTCTAGATATCTTCCTGAAAAAATTAAAGACATATTATTGTGATACATTCACACTCCCGTTGACAGCAACATGATTCATAATAGCTAAATCATGGACTAGGCCTGTATGTTTTCAGCAGATAGATAAAGAAGTTGTGGCTTTCAATACACAATGGATGTGCCTTGAGTCCATAATATTAAGTGAACTAAATTAGACACAAGCTTAAATATCGCACAGGTTTTTTTTTTTTAATATTAGAAATCCTAAATATAAGTGAAGAGCAAAATAAAGGATAGATAATAGGAGAATCTAAGAAATAGAACTTTTGCAAATGAGAACCAAGAGACAGAAGGAGGAGGAAAAGGATGGAAAGAGATTTAAGACACTCACTAGGAGGAATGAGATCATGATGCACCACAAACATGTGCTCGTAAAACTGAAAAAAGATGAAAATATATGAAAGAATTGAAAAATATATGGCAAAAAAATAAAAAGGGTTGTGTGTGTAGGGCAACGCTAAGGCCCTCATTGTAACACCTAGTACTGCCCTCCTTTCCCAAAGTAAATCTCCCATTTGACTATCTGTTTAATTACGTGGCTATGTGTGTGTGTGTGTGTGTGTGTGTCTTTTTTTTTGTTTGTTTGTTTGTATCGGGGATTGCCAAGCAGGCTCTTATGCCACTGAGCTAAACCCCGGCCCAGTTTTTCAGTTTTTGAGACAGGACCTCGCCATGCAGTCAGCTGGCCTTCAACTCACAGAGATCTTCCTGCCTTAGCATGAACCATCATGCAGGCTAAGGTATTTAAGAAGACCTACAGCTTCACTCCTAGAAGTGAATCAATCCCGCTTTATTACACTATTAAGTTCACAACAGGTCCCATGTCCTAAGACATCTGGACACCTGGAAAGGTAAGAGATCTAGACTGAAAAAGTTTTGGCACTGACAGGACTCTGTAACCAGAAAAAAACAAGCCGGAACCGGGGAGCTCCTATGTCCCCCACCCCTAGGGATTTACCTGTGACTCTATCTCCCCCCACCCTTAGGAGTTTGCCCCTGGCGCCAAAGGAGTGCCAATGAGATACCTGTGCATCTCTAATGGCCCTAGGGCACTACCCTAAGCTTAGGCTACTTACATACTCCCCCCTCCCCCTCCCCAGCATGTGTCGGCCAGAGAGAAAGCCGGGCTCCAGCAGTTGGGGTGTTTTGGTTTTCTCTCTTCGCGTTCTCAGAATAAAGGCCTCTTTTGTTTTATACGTCTCATCTTTTGGACGCACTATATAATCTTATCATCTTTGCTTTTTTAAATTGGGGTTTGTTGGCAAACAAGGTCACAGAACAGTGGTATGGCAAGATTTTATTTTACAAACTGGCGCTTTTGGCAAGCCCAGCGTGTCAGCGTGTCAGCGTGTCTGGCACCTCATTCAAGATAACCCTGGACACCTGGACCTATATACTTGTTTTGGTTGCAGTTTTACAACCACGACAGAGCGGTCATAAACAGCGGTGCTGGTGGGAAAAAGCAGCCGGGGAAACAGCGTCCTCGGAACTAACATGCCGGTGCCGGCCAGCGATGGGACCGCGTTTCTCCGAGCACCGGGGAGGGGCGTGAGGAGAGGCTCGCAGGCGCGGCGGAGGGCGCAGCAAGAAGGGCACGGCAAGGACGTCGGCGGCGCGGATCATGCTGAGCTGGGCGTGCGGTACGATCGCCTCAGCGCTGCGGGGCGCGCGCGCGCCGCCACTGGCGGTTGTCCAGAGGGGCCTGCGTTCGACAAGCTCGCGGTTCTTGGCAGGTCCGGGCGAGGGAGCGGAGAAGCCGCTCCGCGCCTTCGACCCAGCGCTGCTGGAGTTCCTGGTGTGCCCGCTCTCCAAGAAGCCGCTGCGGTGAGGGCCGGGCCGGGAGGGCGGGGCGGCCGCGCGACCTCTCCTTGCATTGCGGTCGCTTTTCGGCCGCGTTCCACCCGGCTTCGGTCGCCGGCTGCGGGGAGGGCGCCCACCGCACGTGGATTTGCCAGGGCGCTTAAAAAAAATAAAGGCCTGCTCTCGTGCAGAAACCTCGTGGCCAAGGCACCGACCCTCCTGCCTCTGCCCGGCCCGGCCAGTTGTATTTTGTTCAGAGCGTCTCTTACGTGAGGTAATGCAGCGAGGTTTAGGAACCATAGAGACTAAGGACAAATCCCAAATACTCAAGGTTTTAAGCCTACATGATGAAAAAGATTTAGGAGCGTCCAGAGTCGAGCAAGTGCCTGACAGTAGAGCGCTTGCGTGCTGCCCTTTGGTTTTTGATCGTGGACTGGCTGGGTTTTGTTAAACATTTAACCTAGTTCTGCAACTCTACATTTCCAAGCTAAACTGAATATTGATCAGTGTCACAGATTAAATAAACACCAACATGTTATCAGTGGTAATCTTTGGGTGCTAACTGGCTAAGCAGTTTATATATATTATGTCTTTTTCTAGTTTTCCTCTATAATGAGTATATTACCTAATTAATGAAATTACCATTTGATTTACCATATAGCAGTTGCGTAACTAGCGCACTGCACACTCAAGTGCCTTCCCACGTTTCCTCATTGCTGCCCTTTCATCTTAAGCGTTTAGTTTGCATATTTTGATTTCACTGTGTTCAATTTATTTATTGTGAAAGGAGAAAGTTAATTTTTAGTTTTTGTTTTGATAGTAAACAGATGATTTTGGTGTTAACTATAATGGTAAAGATACATTTGGATAAAAGGGAGATCTGATTGGTATAAAAAAATTAGGCATAATTTGGGAATAAAGTGAAAAAGGTAATTTGAGAGATAATGATAGCAATGGAAACAATTATAGAAGAATCCCCTAAGAGAAATGGTTGTATTGGCTATTGCTGCTTTTAGAATTGACTGTTGTGGAATTAACTTTTTTGAAGAACTGGAGAAATGGTGTTTTATATTGACCATCGAGTTCTTGTGAGCATTTTGTTTTCCACAATTCATTTTTCTCCCCCCACCCCCCAGATATGAAGCATCCACAAATGAACTGATCAATGAAGAGTTGGGAATAGCCTATCCAATCATTGATGGGATTCCTAACATGATACCACAAGCAGCTAGAAGAACACATCAACATAAGAAGCAAGAAGAAACAGAGCAGCACTGAATCATCATTTAAAAAAAAAAACACGGCAACATTTACTTAACAATCTATACTTTAAAGCACGGCGGCAGCACGGCGGCAGGTAGTGGGTGGGTAAGAAAAATGTTTCTGTCTCTGCCTACCCTGACCGTGCTTATTCCACTGGTCTCCTTAGCGGGCCTGTTCTACTCGGCCTCTGTGGAGGAAGACTTCCCGCAGGGCTGCACGAGCACAGCCAGCCTTTGCTTTTACAGTCTGCTCTTGCCCATCACCATCCCAGTGTACGTGTTCTTCCACCTGTGGACCTGGATGGGTATTAAGCTCTTCAGGCATAATTAAGGCAGCCACAGCCAGGATGGCTACCTGTGTAAGTCCTAAGCACCTGTCCCCGACAGCTCAGCGGGGTGGAAATACTGGAGACCCGTTTAGTTTGGAGGAAGTTGCTTTGCTTTGCTTTGCTTAACTCGGGTTTAGAACTAAGAGGCTTAAACTGCAGAAGCTTTGATTGTATTTCTGTTTTGCCTGCTTTTTGAAGATTCTCACTGCTGTATCAGAGAAACATTTCAATGAAATGTTGTGTGGGTAGGGGATTTAGCTCAGCGGAATAAGTGCCTGCCTGGCTATGCCTGGCTAGCACAAGTCGTGAGTTCGATCCCCAGTACCAAAAATAAATAAAATAAAATGTGATAGAGATTAACTCCTTTAATCATCATTTGAGTATTTTTCTTAGTCCATTCATCAAAAAGTTTAGTCATTTGTAATTTCATTAGCTTCAAGGTCAGTAGGAAAACCATACGTTAGGGATGACTCAATCTCAAAGTAGCAGTATTAGAATAGTTCTAGAGAAATACATTCAAACCAGTGTGATGAAAATAAAATGAAAATTGCATGTATGTATAAAAATTCTGAGTTTGTAAAGGTGCCATCATCTCTTTGGCATCAAATGTATCCATTAATAAGATGATGACAGTTTTCTATAAAAAACCTAGTTTACAGGTTTTCTTTTACAGGAGTATGGTACTAAGAGAGGGAAAAGGTGAAAAAAGCAGGCTAAGGTAGGCTCAGTTTTAGAGAGCTTGCCTGGTATTTTTTTTACAAGGCATATCTTGTTAATCCCTTGTATTACCCCCCCCCCCCAAAAAAAAAAAACAAAATAAAAAAAGAAGTTACAAGGCACACAGTGCCCCAGATGAAATCAATTCCCAGAAAAGTAACATGTTGGATGGGTAAGGGTAGGTGGAGATGGGAAGACTTATGATTATCGTTCTGATGGGCTTAGAGCCATGTTTTGAAGCACATTCAGGTTTTAGCTGCCTTAGATCTGCTGAGCGCTGATGATGGTTCGAACCTTGATTTTCTAAACTTTGAACTGATTGAGCATAGTATAGTAGCCAGTTATTTTTTTGAAATAGGATCTTGGTATGTAGTTGAGGCTGACTTTGAAATCATTATCCCAGACTGGCCTCAAACTTGAAATGATCCTGCTGCCTCAGCCTTCTGAGTGCTGGAATTAGATGCATGTGCCATCATGTTTGGCTGATACAGTAATAATTTATAAAGTATAATACAAATGTTTAAATAGTTAACCTAAAGAAACCTAAATCTTGTATATAAATTTAATTGTGTGTGCCTGTGCATATGCGTGCATGCACACATGGGAACGTGTGTGCTTGGGATCTGACTAGTCTGTCGGAGCTGTATCAGCCCACAACTTGAGTTTTTAAAAATTTTTTTTTTATTTTAAAGAAATTAAGACAAGAGGACAGAAGCAGATCAGAACAGAGCAATGTAAGCAACACAGTACTTCACCGTAAGACAACCTGATATTAACAGTCGCTACCATAATATGTCTTTCTTTGAAATAGTTGAGCATACCTACACATACAATAATATCAAACATAACAAAATAGTATAAAACTATTCAAGAGAATGAAAGTATTACAGGACATTCAGAACCAAATAACCGAAAATGAACAATGGCTACTACATTATCTCATTTTCCATAAAAAATTTGTTTATACTATCACACATAACAAACTCCAACAAGATACAACATGATGGAACCAATGGAAACAGAAGAACAAAAGCATGGTAGGACTTCAAAGCAAGATATTAAATCAGCAATGGCTATCATAAAGTCTTGTTTTATTGAAAATACCTGTTCATATCACAGATAATAAAATTAAACCAGAATAAAACCATTCCAACTAATGAAAACATTATAAGGCTTCAAAGCAATGTAATGGGCAATCATGATTACCATAAACTCATATGTACTCTTACCTTTCTTACACTAGGAGACTATATGGTATTTATACATGTGAGTTTGATTTATTTCGTTTATGGTCTCACGTTGTGTCCATTTATATATAGATATTGCAATGTGATCATTTTTTTTTCTTTGATCCGTATTGGGGATTGAACTCACGACCGCCTGCTTGCAAGGCAGGTGCTTACACTGCTGAGCTAAATCTCTAGCCTAATGTGATCATTCTTTATAGCTGAGTAGTACTCCATTGTATAAAAATACCACAACTTTTTTATGTATTCCTCTGTTGATTGACACTTAGGTTGTTTCCAAGATCTGGCTATTACAAATTGTGCCGCTATAAACATGGGTGCACATATATCACTGTGGTATGATGTTTTCAGTTCTGGGAATATGCCTAGAAGTAGAATAGCTGGGTCAAATGGGACTTCCAATCCCAGCTTTTTAAGGAATCTCCAGATTGACCTCCACAGTTGTTGCACCAGTCTACACTCCCACCAGCAGTGCAGGAGAGTTCTTTTTTCCCCACAGCCTCTCCAGCATTTGTTGTTGGTAGTTTTCTTGATCCTGGCCATTCTTTCAGGAGTGAGATGGAATCTCAGTGTGGTTTTAATTTGCATTTCTCTAAAGAGTAATGATGATGAACTTTTTTTATGTATTTATTTGCCATTTGTATTTCTTCATCTGAGAACTGTGTATTCACCTCAGGTGCCCATTTTTGGATTGGGTCTTTGAATCTCGGGTCTGATGTTTTAGACAGAAGTTCTTTGTCTGAGGGACAGTTCACTAAGATTTTTTCCCAGTTTGTGGGTTTTCTTTTCACTATGCCGGAGATTTCTTTTGACATGCAGAAATTTTTTAATAAGACATGATCCCAGTTATTGATTCTGGGAAGCATTTCCCGTGTGGTTTGATTTTTGTTCACGAATTCTCTGCCTACCTCTATGTCTTCAAGATTTTTACCTAATTTGTCTTCCAACAGATTTAGTTGTTTCTGTTGTAATATTCAGATCTTTGACCCACTTAGATTTTAGTTTAGTATGTGGTGATAGGCATGGGTCTAGTTTTAGTTTTTGGTATAGGGAGAGCCAGTTTTTCCAGCACCATTTATTAAAGAGACTGCCATTCTTCCAGTGAGCATGTTTGGCCCCTTTATCAAAGATAAGGTGGTTGAGTGTGTTTATAGTTGTGGTTGTATCTTCTAATCTATTTCATTAATCTTCAGATCTGTTTTTGTCCCAGTACCATGTTGATTTTATTACAGTAGTTTTGTAGTATAACTTCAAGTCAAGGATTGTGATGTTTCTGCCTTGTCTTTGCTGCTTAGAATTGTCTTTGCTATTTTAGTTCTCTTCTGCTTCCAGATGAATTTTAGGAGTGATTTCTCTAGATCTATGAGGTATGTTGATGGTGTTTTCATTGGGATTGCATTGAATCTGTGTAACAGTTTTGGGAGAATGGCCATTTTCACAATATTTATTCTTTCTATCCATGAACAAGGAATGTCTTTCCGTTTCCTGAGATCTTCTTTGATTTCTTTTTTTAGGGTATTATAATTATCCCTGTATAGATCTTTTACTTTCATGAGATTAATTCCTAAGTATTTCATTTTGGGGGATGCTAGTGTGAAGGGTATGGCTTCTCTTACTTCTCTCTCTGTGACTTTGTTGTTAGTGTATAGGAATGCTCTTGATTTTTGAGTATTGATTTTGTATCCAGCTACATTGCTGAATTAATTTATTATATCTAGGAGGCTTTCAGTGGAGTTTTGGGGGTCTTCTATGTCATCTGCAAATAATAATTTAACTTCCTCTTTTCCTATCTTTAACCCTTTTATTTCTCTCTCTTGTCTAACTAATTGCTCTGGCTAGTATTTCCAGTACTGTGTTGAATAGGAGTGATGATAAGAGACATCCTTGTCTTGTGCCTGACTTTAAGGTAAAGGCCTTCAGTTTTTTTTTGTTTCTGTTTTTGTTTGTTTGTTTGTTTGTTTTTTTCGTTTTTATCGGTACCAGGGATCAAACCCATGACTGCCTGCTTGCAAGGCAGGCGCTTATGCCACTGAGCCCCATAAGGCCTTCAGTTTTTAGCCATTTAATATGATGCTGGCTGTTGGTTTGTCATAGATGGCCTTTATCATATTGAGGTAAAGACCATCTATTCCAATTTTCTGTAAGGCTTTTATCATAAATGAATGTTGGATCTTATCACAAGCTTTTTCTGCATCTATAGAAATGATTATGTGATTCTTACTTTTTGCTTTATTGATATGGTAGATTAATTCATTGATTTACCTATGTTGAACCATCCCTGCATGTCTGGGATGAATCCCACTTGGTCATGGTGTATAATCTTGATGATTTGCTGCATCCTGTTTGCCAATATTTTATTGAGGATTTTTGCTTTTATATTCATTAGGGAGATTGGCCTATAGTTCTATTTTTTAGTTGGGTCTTTCTCAGGTTTTGGTACTAGAATAATATTTGCTTCCAGGAATGACTTAGGAAGAATTGCTTCCCTTTCGATTTCATTGAAGAGTTTGAGGAGTGTTGGCATTAAGTCTTCTTTGTACTTCTTGTAGAATTCTGCAGTGAATCTGTCTGGGCCTGGGCTCTTCTTTGTAGATAAGGACTTAATTACATTTTCAGTTTCATTAATAGAAATTGGGTTATTCAGCAGTTTTACATCTTCTTGACACAGCTTTGATAGTTCATATGTTTCTGGGAACCTGTCCATTTCTTCTGTGTTATCAAACCTACGAGAGTAGAGGTTTTTGAAATAGGTGTTGATGATCTTCTGTATTTCCACAGAGTGTAGTGATTTCACCTTTTTCTTTCTTATTGCATGAATTTGAGCTTTTTCTTTCCTTTTTTAAAATAAGGTTGGCTAGGAGCTTATCAATTTTATTTATTCTTTCAAAGAACTAACCTTGATTCATTGATTCTTTTGATTGTTTTCTTAGTCTATTGCATTAATTTCTGCTCTGATTTTTATAATTTCCTCCCTTCTTTTGGCTTTGTGCTTGACTTGCTCTTCTTTTTCTAGATGTTTGAAGTGTAGCATCAGGTTATTTATTTGTGTTCCCTCTGTTTTCCTGATGTGGGAACTCAGTGCAATAAAATTTCCTTTGAGGACCACTTTCATTGCATCCCACAGATTTGGTAAGTCGTATTTGTATTTTTGTTTGCTTGTAGGTATTGTTTAATTTGTTCTTTAATTTTCCTTGTGACCCATTGATTACTCAAGAGTGTATTCAATTTCCATGTGTTTGTGGGGTTTTTGCAATTTCTTTTATCATTATTTTCTAGTTTTATGGCGCTATGATCTCAAAGCATGCATAATTTCAACTCTTTTGCATTTACTTAAATATGTTCTGTGGGGTAGTATATAGTCTGTTTTAGAGACTGTCCCATGTACTGCTGAGAAGA